TAAAGGTTCCCTTGCTCGAAAGCCAGTCGAATCCGACTCTAGGGTTGCGGTGCTCATCTCCGTTTCAAAGCCGAAGAGCCAGCGCTGTCCGAAGACGTTTCCGTGGTCATGTGGCCGGAGGAAAACTGTGATCCTGACCCCAGTTTGGGCTCTGCAGTAGTAACCGAGGAGAACCTGCAACTCATGTCTCACTGTCATGTCTAATACAAAAGCAATATATACCGTGAGATGGCAACCAGTATAGTCAGACTCTTCTTTAAAGTTACTAATGAATAATAATGGATAATTCTGTCATGTCTGACACAGGGTGGGGGCCCCAGACCCAACTCACATCATCCGTAATGTGTGAATCCAGAACGATATGATCAGCGGCTGGGGACAAGGACAGGGACTGGCTAGGGCCATTCTCATGGTCTTCCAGAGACATCTAGTGGCCTCAGGTGGCAACAGATGAAGTTTTGCCCAGTTTAACAAAACACCACCCTGATCTGGACAGCTCAGGATATCCCGATCTCATCAGATCTTGGAAGCTAAGCAGCCATGGTCAATATGTGGATGGGAGACCGCCAAGGAAGTCCAGGGTGGCTGAACAGAGGCAGGAAGGGGCAAACCACTTCTGGACGTCTCATGCCTTGAAAACCCTATCAGGTTGCCACCCATTGGCTGCCACTCGATGGCAAGAAAACTGCATTTATTTATTTCCGGCATTCCCATCCCATTTGTCCTTCCTTGATGGAACTCCATCGACACCTGGGTGGTCTCCCAACCAACACAGGGCTCCCCTCCGACCCTGCCTGGTTTCAGCAAGGCTGCTGTGATCGGACGGCCTCTAGTGATACTTAAGGACTTTTTCTTCTTCTTAGGGAACACACCAAGCTGCCGTTTATAGAATCGGAGCATTGGTCCCTCGAGCTCAGCACTACCTGTGCTGACTGACAGGAGGTCTCCCAAGCTTCAGATAGAGAAAAAGCCTTTCCCGGTATTTGTATCTGAAGTACATTGGTCGGGGATGCCAAAGATTGAGTCTAGGATCTTCTGGAAGCCAAGCTAGCGTCTGCCACTGAGCTGCAGTCTCTTCTCAAGCCTAGGGTATCTTAGAGATGTTGGCTCCATGCTGCTGTCATTCTCAGAAGAGGTCTCTAGGCCACCCCCAAAGCGTAGATACTTCAATTTCTTCAGTTCTTCACACAGCACATACTTAACTTTTGGAATTCATTGCCACATAATGTGGCAATCGCTACAGAAGGTCTCTGGTTCAATCCCTGGCATCTCCAGTTAAAAGATCAGGTGATGTGAAAGGCCTTTACCTGAGACTCTGGGAGGCAGTGCCAGTGCAGCAGATGCTGACCGGGATAGACCAATGGTCTAGTGGAGAGTCAGGGAGCTTCGTGACTGTGGCTTAGTGGTAGAGCATCAGCTTTGCATGCAGGAAGTCCCAGGTCCAACCCCCTTCTCTCCAGTTAAATGGATCGTGCAGTGAGTGATGCAAAAGATCTCTGCCTAAGACCCTGGAGAGCTGCTGCCAGTCAGAGTAGACAATGTTGACCTTGATAGATTGAAGCTGTGGTCACACACATTAAATAATCGGTCACTTGTATGTATGGAGCTGCGGTGGCTCAAGTGGTTAAGACGCACGCTGAACTGCAGGCTGTGGAAAGTCAGTAGTTCAGCAGTTTGAGACCCGAGTGCCGCATGACGGAGTGAGCTCCCATCTCTAGTTCCAGCTCCTGCCAACCTAGCAGTTCGAAAGCAAGAAATTGCAAGGAGATAACTAGGTACCACTTCGGTGGGAAGGTAACACTGTTCCGTGCGCCTTGGTGTTTAGTCATGCTGGCCACATGACCACGGAAACGTCTTCGGACAGCGCTGGTTCTTCAGCTTTGAAACGGAGATGAGCACCGCATCCCTAGAGTCGGACTCCTGGCTTTCGAGCAAGGGAACCTTTACCTTTACCTTTACACCTGTATGTGGATCTAAGGCATATATGTTCACATTCTACTTTGGGAGGCGTGGTGGATTGCCCTGATGCACTTAAGGTACACAGACTTCTAAATGATTTCTGTTCTGACGTCACTGAGAAGGTGGCCAAGTTTCTCCACTCTGCTTTAAAGCTGCACCAAAGGACCCCAGAGACTTAGTATTTTCATAGGTGTGTTTTAACCTGCTCTTAAATTGTACCATCTAGAGACATAGTATTTGTAATAGGCATGCATTCAATCTGCTCTTAAATTGTATATTCTGTGTTGACAATTTATGCCAATAAAGGCTAACTTGAAATTAAAAACATTAAATAATCCCGGGGGTCATTTTGTAGAAAAAGAGGTGCAGGAGCTCATTAGCATAACCTATTAGCATATAGATCTGCCCTCACAGAGGAGGGAGAGCTTGTAGCTAAATAAAACTTGGTCTTAAAGGTGCCACTGGACTGTTTTGGACTGGGGGGGTGGGGGGGCTCTGCAGTTTACCTGGCTGCTTCTTGCTCTGACTGAGGGCTGCTGGGAGCAGGGGGTGGGGCTTGTTGCATGTTCCCGCCCCCTGGGTTCTTTACTGCCGAAGCTCTGCTCCTGTGTGCAGGAAATGACCCCTGAATAATCCACTTCCAATCCACTTCCAATCCACGTTCAATGCACTTCCCAACTGTATTTTACTGTGTGAACTGGCAAAATCCAGCTGGAAAGTGCATTGAAAGTGGATTACTTAGTGTGTGTGACCATAGGCCAAGACTCTGACTCAGTATAAAGCAGTTTCACATGTTTTCTTCCACTTCTGTGGACACATTCCTCATATTTTAAAGTAATTTCCCCCCCTGATATGCACAGTCAGTGCACCATAAGCAGGAAGGTTTACCTCCTGAGTTAAGGGGCGGGGGGACTCTGAGTTTGGCATATTGAGGCAGAAGAACAGAGGGTTGTTTGACATCGCAAGAACACCTGCCTGGTGTGTGAAATGGATTCTTTGTTTAATTCATTCCCCAGCAATGCGAAGACAAATGGGGGCATTTGTGTGCTCTGGCCGACTTCTCCATCGCGCTGAACGAAAGCATCCAAGAGATCAACAAGCATTCGTTTAACAACTTTGAACTCCGCATCGGTACGTACAGCCTCGGCGTTCCAAAATGTATCAGAATCCCATGCCTGTTCCTTGTTCATATGGAAGCCCAAGGGGAAGGTACTGGGCCATTCGTTTCAGGAAAATCTGCCCTACTGTATGTGTCTCCCTTTGGACAGAGCGCACCTGGAGTAAATTATGTCCTTGTGAGCTATAGAGTTCTCTCTGTGCATTCCAGCCTCTGCCATCTACAAGCCCAACCGTGTATGGATCTGGGCTTTTCATTTCTTTTTCCAGAAGCCATTCGCTTGACGATAACTGTATTGTAAATCTTGGAGCAGGTGAGAGATTTCTGGCTGGGAGAAGCTGCTTTCTGTGATGCAGGATCGCTTGGGGACTAATGCTGCCTGGTGCACGCCTGCTCTCCATCTGCTCAGCCCCTACATTTGTAAATAAAGCATTTTGTCGCAAGATGTGCCATCTGCAATTGATGCGGGAAACCGGTCCTGCTTCAAGCGAAAGCATCGTTATTTCGTTTGAAAAATGAACTGGGAAAGAATGCTTCTACTGCAGGTTAGAGAAGCGGCGTATTCTCCTTCCTGCCCACCTCCATGGGCACAGAAGGGTGTAACTGTCTCCCACAGAAGGGTGTAACCTCCTGCCCACCTCCATGGGCATCGGAGGGTACTGTCAAATGTGTGGGGAAGCCTTTCTTGGCCAGGAGGTAAATAATAGCAGAGTAGGGGGCGGACCAGCTTTGATGACGGAAAGTGTGCAGAGGCTGAAGACTTAAGCCTCCTCTTCCTTCCTGTCAGAGCTTGAGGCTTCATGAGACTGTGGTTTGCGTTTCAGAGACAAAAACACATTGCAAAGCGGGCCCTGGCTATCTTTTCATTAGAGTTGCCAGGGACTGAAGCGAGAACATTCTGCATTTGAAACAGGGAGTCTACCAATGTATCTGCAGGGATCATCTTTCCCAATACATAGAATCACAGAGTTGGGAGGGACCAGACAGGCCATCTAGTCCAACCCCCCCTGGTCAATGCAGGATCAGCCTAGAGCATCCCTGACAAGGGTTTGTCCAGTTGCTGCTTAAAGATGGCCAGCAAGAGGGAGCTCACCACCTCCCTAGGCAGCTGATTCCATGGTTGAACAACTCTTACTGTAAAAGAGTATTCCCTAATATCCAGCCAGTACCTTTCTGCCCTTAATTTAAACCCATTATTGTGAGTCCAATCCTCTGTTGCCAACAGGAACAGCTCCCCGCCCTCCTCTAAGTGACAGCCCTTCAAATACTCCAAGAGAGCCATCATGTCCCCCCTCGACCTCCTCTTCTCCAAACTGAACATTCCCAAGTCCCTCAGCCTTTCCTCACAGGGCTTGGTCTCCAGGCCCTCAATCATCCTAGTCACTCTCCTCTGTACCCACTCCATTCTGTCCACATCCTTTTGGAAGTGAGGCCTCCAGAACTGCATACAATACTCCAGGTGCAGCCTGACCAGTGCAGTGTACAGCAGGACTATGACATCTTGTGATCTGGATGTTATGCTTCTGATGATACACCCCAAGATTGCATCAGCCTTTTTTGTTGCAGCATCACACTGGCTGCTCATATTTAACTTGCTGTCCACCCATACTCCAAGATCTTGTTCACATACAGTGCTACCCAAAAGCGTAAAGAAGCTTTACGCTCAGCAGACCAACAGCTACTGGTGATCCCCAGCCCAAAAGACATCCTCACATACAGTGCTACCCAAAAGCCTTTTCAACCTGGTGGAAAAAAGTCCTAAGACATACAAGCAGAGCTATTTGATAACAATCCAATGAGTGCAAAAGCCTCAAGAAAAATACATAATAATCAGAACAACTTGAATCAACAGGAAATGGTCCTGAGACACATAAACAGTACTCTTTGGTAACAGTCCAAGCAGTGCAAAAGCCCCTGGTTATTTAATAATATCTGCTCCAAATCAAGAATATGAAGTCCAAAACTGATGGTAAAGATACAATGATGCTATGGATGGTAAATATACATACAATCGGAGGATGTCAACAGCCTACAGTACCCTTTCCCCCTTAAATTTAAACAGTGTAAGTGAAGTAAGTGAATATCGTCTTACGAGAATTGACAAGTATTATGCCAGTAAAAATCCCGTTCCACACAAAGTGTTGAATTTGCTTTAACATCACATTTAAACTACCCTTGATCTGTGGTGATGTTTTCCCCCTCATCCAATATCACAGTTCAAGTATTTGTTAGGTGATGTGGGTGGAAAGTGCCATTGAGTCACAGCCGACTTATGGTGACCCCGTAGGGGTTTCAAGGCAGGAGACAATATGGTAGGACGTGGTGTCCGGATTCTATCCCACTCATTTCAAAAATGCAGATGACTTCTTCAGCATATTCAAGAATTTTGAATCATTAAGGAGCAATGGGGTAAACCCCCAAAGCAGAGTAGCAACTCCATATGCAGAGATATATGCAGTAATTCATTATTGTTTTCACTTATTCCAGTAACTTGCTGTGATCAGACGTTCAGGAAACTTCTAAAGCTGACTAAGTCAATCCATCTCATGTTGGGTTCTTCCTCTTTTCCTGCTGCCTTCAACTTTTCCCAACGTTATTGTCTTTTCCAGTGATTTGTATCTTCCTGTAATGTGACTGTCCTGTCCAGCAGCCAGCAGCTTGCAGTTAGTTTACTGGAGAGAGACAGAGGCAAGGTTTCCTATAAGAGCTGGTGACTGGGAGGGGAAACTGTATCATCTCTCTTCCTCACTGTCCTGTCCAGCACAAGCTGTGCTAAGCCAACACTCTCTAGGTGTGAGTCAACCACGACTACTGAGTAGAGCTTAAATCATCTTTATTTAACTTCACACGCATTCAGAAGATCATTTACTCACAATCGACCAGATAGCTGGGTGGAAAGTTACATCTTGTGATTTAGGTCAGTTCTATAGCCGCGGTGAGAAAGAGATGGGCTTCCCCTCTCCATGCAGTAAGGGTTGATGTACAAAGAAATGGAAAAGAACAATAAAACCCCTATCTTTGTGCCTCTGAGCTCAGGAAATTGCTCTTAATGAGCCAGTCAGAGGGAAGCTTCTGGGACCCCTAACTGTGAACTACAATTCCCAGGTGCAACAAGTCTTAAAGATACAGCGCAGTTTTACTAAACTACGGATAACGCTGACTGGGGGCAGCACAGTGACCAAAGAATGATAGCCTCAGTTCAGTCCTTTTAGTTCTAGGCAGAGTTCAGGCTCGATTCGATCGAGAACCCCACTGATTTGCCCTTTTAGTAAGAACATAAGAAGATAAGAGAAGACATGTTGGATCAGGCCAATGGCCCAGCCGGTCTAACCCTCTGTGTCACACAGTGGCCAAAATCAAGGTGCCATAGAACTTTCCTTCAACACCACATTGACAGCCAGCATAGTGTATCAGCTAAGAGTGGCAGACTTGTAATCTGGAGAACCAGGTTTGATTCCCCACCCCTCCGCATGAAACATTCCGGTGTGACCTTGAGCCTGTCGCAGTTCTCCCAGGACTCTCTCAGACCCACCTACTTCACAAGATGCCTGTTGTGGGGAGAGGAAGGCAAGACAATTGTAAGCTGCTTTGAGATTCCTTAGAGTAGGGAACAGCAGAGTATTAAAAACCAACTCTTATTATTTTATGTTGTCGAAGGCTTTCATGGCTGGAGTTCATTAGTTGTAGATTTTCTGGGCTGTATGGCTGTGGTCTTGACATTGTAGGACCTGACGTTTCGCCAGCGGCTGTGACTGGCATCCTCAGAGGTAGAACACAGAAAGATGGAATACTCTCTGTGTCAATGTGAGAAGAACACTGGTAGGCATGTAATTTATATCTACTCAGGAAGGTGGGGTAGGGCTGAGTCATTATCTTGTAGGAGTTCCCCAGGCTGTGACATGCTAATGGAGGAACTTTCCTGAGGAGGTTCTTTTGCATATGGATTGGTTGTTGAAATTCTAATCTTATCTGTAGTGCTGTTGTAAAATGTAGAGCGTTTTGTGTTTTTCAGGACTGGAAAACATGCCCTATTTATTTTTAAACTATCTTCTTTCCTGTTGAAATTGTGTTTTTGTTTATGAATTTCAATGGCTTCTCTGTGTAATCTGACATGGTAATTGGATGTGTTGTCCAGCCTTTCAGTGTCTTGGAATAAGATACCATGTCCTGTTTGAGTTAGGCTATGTTCAGCCACTACTGATTTTTCAGGTTGGCCCAGTCTGCAGTGTCTTTCATGTTCTTTTATTCTTGTCTGGATGCTACGTTGTGTGGTCCCGATGTAAATCTGTCCACAACTGCAGGGTATGCGGTATACTCCTACAGAAGTGAGGGGGTCTCTTCTTCTTTGACACTACAAATGAATCCATTTTCTTCCTGTCCATTCTCTTCATTGCCCATCATTCTTTCACACCAATACATAGTAATGGGAAATACCATGGTATGAATTAACCTGATCTTGGTCGCCAGCAACACATCTGACCTGGGTACTGTCCTCAGATTCTCTTTTCTTCTCTTTCCTTCACAGGTATCAGCCATGGTTCTGTCGTAGCAGGTGTTATTGGTGCTAAGAAACCCCAGTATGACATCTGGGGCAAAACTGTTAACTTAGCTAGCCGCATGGACAGCACAGGTATCAGCGGTAGAATGCAGGTGCCCGAGGAAACATATCTCATTCTGAAAGACCGGGGATTTGCCTTTGACTACCGGGGGGAGATCTACGTCAAGGGCATCAGCGAGCAAGAAGGCAAAATCAAAACCTATTTTCTTCTGGGAAGAGAACAGCCGAACCCTTTGATCTTGCAACCCAGGAAACTGACCGGACAGTACTCCTTAGCCGCTGTCGTCTTAGGGCTCGTGCAGTCTCTCAACAGGCAAAAACAGAAGCAGATCCTGAATGAGAACAACAACTCCGGGATCATTAAGGGACATTACAATCGGCGGACTTTGCTCAGTCCCGGCGGGCCCGAGTCAGTGGCCCAAGCCGAGGGCGTGGACAAGACGGAATTGCCGTAAATCTGCATCTTTTTGGTGTGTGCGTTTCTTTTCTTTTTTTTAATTTCGGGTTTTTTTATATATAAAATAAATATATAAATAAAAAATATGGTTTATTATTATTATTTTTAGGACAAAGGGTTTTCTTTTCCCCCGAGCTCTTTCGTGCCACCCGTTCTAGCCTACAGCACGGCCACAGTACTTTACGGAAGGAAAGGATTTGGCGGGTGGTTACAGTGAAGGGCTTAGACAATGAAGCGGCCGTCTGCGCTGGTGAACGTGCCACAGCTTAGGTTCAAAACACTTTAATGCCGTGCATGATAGTACATGTGGAACCCACCTTGAGCGCCCACCTGCACCACATTGGGGAGCACTGCATTAGATGCTCATCCAAAGAAGCAGAGGCAGAGATAGGAGTCGGCCACTGGGAAGTCTGCTGGATTCCTCCACATCTTTCATGCTGAAGAACCTCCTGCAGATCCAAGCCGGGGTCAGTTTCCTCAAACATGTTTCTCACACATTTGTTTCTTCTGACCTAGCTTTTACCCTGTCAAGATAGTAGAACTCGCTGCATAACTATGCTAATGTTGGTTGACAGGCAGGGTGATTTACTGCACGGAATGCTTTTGAAGAGCTTCTAAGCAGATCGGGTTTCAGAAAGGGGAAAGGAAATCGAGTAGAACAAATTTAGAGTCCAGTGGCACCTTTGAGACCAACAAAGGTTTATTCAAGGTATGAGCTTCGGTGTGCAGGCACACTGTTTCAAATACAGTGGAATGGGCGGCAAGGTTCAAACTTCTAGACGGGCTGAACAGCCAATTAACATGTAACGTGATGAAGATGTTTTAAGCTATGCAAAAACAGAATTAAAAAACAAGCTAAGGTTTTTGCAGCGTGTGGTTCGTAAACCACGCCCACCATGAACCATGGACCAAACCCCCCATTTCCCCGGTTCCTGCCCATCCCTACACATGATTGTGGTCAGCTGATCTGCTTCCTAGCGCTGAATTGATGCACAGTGCTCAGTTGCTTGATTTGGAACTAAACGTGGTGATAGCTGCACATCTCACGCTGGAAAGAGTCCAGCCAGGAGGTCAAAGTCTGCCTTCTTGCCATTATTTGGCAAGAGCCCTAATCTGGATGGTGCAGGTTAGCCGGATCTCATCAGATCTTGGAAGCTAAGCAGGGTCAGCCCTGGTTAGTTGTAGAAGAAGAGATTGGATTTATACCCTGCCCTTCACTTGGAGTCTCAGAGCGGCTTACAATTTCCTTCCCTTCCTCTACCCCCACATCAGATACTCTGTGAGGTTATGTGGGGCTGAGAGACCTCTTTCGAGGACTGCTCTTGAGAGAACAGCTCTGAGAGAACTTGTGACTGACCCAAGGTCACCCAGCTGGCTGCACGTGGAGGAGGAGTGGGGAATCGAACCTGGTTCTCTAGATTAGAGTCCGCCACTCTTAACCACTACACTGAAGTGGCTCTTGGATGGGAGACCTCCAAGGAAGTCTGGGGTTACCGCCCAGAGGCAGGCAATGGCAAACCACCTCTGAACATTTATTGAAAAACTCTATAGGAGACATTTTTGTTTGAATTTGGGGTCTATTCGCCCCCCCCCCCCGATGACTGGCCTGCTCTGCTTGGTGTCCCAATTTCTTTGTTTGGGTGAGAGTTGAAGCAAACAAGTTTTGTTTGTTTTTGCACTTTCAATATGGGGCACAGAGAGCAAAAACCTTCCTTCAGCACTCGCCCAGGTCATGCGACAGATCCCAGTGGCTTCTTGCAGTCACCAGCCTTCATAGGCTATTTTCAATACAGCTCACCATCAAGTAGATCCAGGTGGGTAGCCATGTTGGTCCGAAGCAGCAGAACAAAGTTTGAATGCAGTGGCACCTTTAAGACTGACAAGGTTTTATTCATGGTATGAGGTCTGTGTGCACACACACTTCCTCAGATATAATGAGAAGGAATTTACCGCTCCATACATACAAAAGGCTGCGGTGGCTCAAGTGGTTAAGACACTGAACTGCAGGCCGTGGAAGGTCGGTAGTTCAGCAGTTTGAGACTCGGGTGCCGCATGATGGAGTGAGCTCCCGTCTCTAGTTCCAGCTCCTGCCAACCTAGCAGTTCGAAAGCAAGGAATTGCAAGTAGATAAATAGGTACCACTTCGGTGGGAAGGTAACAGTGTTCCGTGCGCCTTGGTGTTTAGTCATGCCGGCCACATGACCACGGAAACGTCTTTGGACAGCGCTGGCTCTTCGGCTTTGAAACGGACATGAGCACCGCAACCCTAGAGTCGGATTCAACTGGCTTTCGAGCAAGCGAACCTTTACCTTTTTACATATAAGGCAGAGGTTGAGCAGCAAATCAGCGTACTCCATAATGAAGCTGTTTTAACAGATGCAAACAGAGATAACAAACTGAGTTTATAAGGTCATCGTTGTTTGGATTTCCCCCCAAGAATTAAACCCAAACAATGAGCTTAGCTTGTTATCCCCGTTTGCATCTGTTAAAACAGCTTCATCATGTTGTATGCTAATTTGCTGTTCAGCCTCTGCCTTATATGTATGGACTGGTACGTTCCATTTCGTTGTATCTGAGGAAGTGTGCGTGTGCACACGAAAGCTCACGCCTTGAATCAAACTTGGTTGGTCTTAAAGGTGCCGCTGGACTCGAACTTCGTTTCACCATCAAGTGGCTGAGAGTACAAAAGCTTAGCAAGGAAAGGCTACTTTGAACAGCCACAGAGAATGAATACAACAATAGCAATGTGCTTTCCATGGGTGTTGAAGCATGGGCAGGGACACAGGTTAGTTTGTTTTTTCTCCTCCCCTCCCTCCACTGAGATAACTGACAACACTGTGAACCTCAGCCATAAGTGACTGTTTACAAGCAAAAGAGCAGACATTGGAGAAGTCTTAAGCAATGCTCCCTCTAAGCTGTGGAGTCTTGTGAGCAAAAATTCTGCTTTGTGAGCGACTGGCATTAAAGTTGTGAGCAAGCGATTTGGCTGCTGCATACATTAGTTTGCTCTGGAGCCCTCCTTCCTGAGCTGAGACAAAAATTTGTGAGCCGGAGGCTAAAAAACTGTGAGCTAGCTCACACTAACTCAGCTTAGAGGGAACACTGGTCCTAAGTATAAAAAAGGTAAAGGTTCCCTTGCTCGAAAGCCAGTCAAATCCGACTCTAGGGTTGCGGTGCTCATCTCCGTTTCAAAGCCGAAGAGCCAGCGCTGTCCGAAGATGTTTCCGTGGTCATGTGGCCGGCATGACTAAACACCAAGGCGCTCGGAACGCTGTTACCTTCCCACCGAAGTGGTACCTATTTATCTACTTGCAATTTCTTGCTTTCGAACTGCTAGGTTGGCAGGAGCTGGAACTAGAGATTGGAGCTCACTCCGTCATGCGGCACCCGGGTCTCGAACTGCTGAACTACCGACCTTCCACAGCCTGCAGTTCAGCGTCTTAACCACTTGAGCCACCGCAGCTCCGGTCCTAAGTATAGCTATTCAGAAATAAGTTTCCTGTTACTCGGTGGGGCTTTGTCCTATCCCAGGAATATGTCTTTAGGATTGCAGGCATAGTGAGAAATCTGGATTGTCTGGTAACAAAGATCCTGTGTGATTGCGCCTGGGGGGAAACGGAGAGTTCAAATTCTCCCTTCCTGAGATGTTTGTGGAATTCTCGTCTAGCCCAGAGCTTCCAGATCACAAGAAGTCATAGTCCCGCTGTACACTGTATCTGTCAGGCTGCACCTGGACTATTGTGTGCAGTTCTGGAGGCCTCACTTCAAAAAGGATGCAGCCAGAATAGAGTGCATGCAGAGGAGAGTGACGAGGATGATGGGGGGCCTGGAGACCGAGCCCTGTGAGGAAAGGCTGAGGGACTCGGGGCTGTTCAGTCTGGAGAAGAGGAGGTTGAGGGGGGGACAGGATGGCTCTCTTGAAGTATTGGAAGGGCTGTCCCTTAGAGGAGGGCCGGGAGCTGTTCCTGCTGTTGGCAGCAGAGGAGAGGACTCGCAAGAATGGCTTTAAATGAAGGGCAGGAAGGTACTGCCTGGATATGAGGAAAAACGTTTTGACAGTAAGAGTTGTGCAGCAGTGGAATCAGCTGCCTGGGGAGGTGGTGAGCTCCCCCTCACTGGCAGTCTTTAAGCAGCGGCTGGACAAACCCTTGTCAGGGATGCTCTAGGCTGATCCTGGATTGAGCAGGGGGTTTGGGCTAGATGGCCTGTAGGGCCCCTTCCCACACTGTGATTCTATGGTTCCCAGCCTTTTTGCTATGGTGGCCCAAAAGTCCAAATATACTTGATGTGGTGATGCACCCAGGGCTAGCCCAGGGTTGTTGTTCTTTTTGTTTTTGACCCCCTAGGCAAACTATGACCTTGGTACCCATCTAGTTCAGGACTCCATTTTCTACAGTGGCTAGCCAGATGCTTTTGAGAAACCAACAAACATCACACAAAGGGTGCAGCTGCCCCCCATTATGAACCCCGAGCAAATGGCATTCCGACATACACAGCCTTTGGGGATGGAGGTTACATTCCATCTTTGATCACCCTCTCCTTCTCCATTATCCCCTCCAATCACCCCTAAGTCTCTAAGAAATCAGCTCCGGTAACCATCAGAACATGCTTTACTTGATCAACATGTATATGCAGTGAAGAAGGGAAAAGGCCAACTAGTGTGTGACATGGAAGATACAGTTTCCAAGGACATAACTTCATTGCCAAAATATCAAAAAATAAATAAAAATGGGAAGGGCAGGGGTGGTCGTAAGTGAAAGCTGGCCTGAGACCCACTTTTAGAGGCTTTGCGACCCACTTTTGGGTCCACAGGTTGGGAAACACTGGTCTAGCCTACTGTTATGTATGTCAGGAGGGAATTGTGCCTTTCAGTTGAGGATGTTTGTACCTCTTCAGCCACTGTAGTTCGGGGGGAAAGGCTGAAAGTGGGTGTGAGTTCCGAGTCTCTGTTGTTGGGTGTTTTTGAGTAGGGAGGGAGTGAATAAACTAGTTATGCTT